ATATTTTAGTTCAGTTTACACACCATTTATAGCTGTATGACTTTATGGGTTTACTATAAAACCCTTTTAGAGATATGGTTTATTATCCTCTAATCCCCTGTTGGAAGATGTCATATACTGTTATTTCATTGTCATTTCAAATTATTACAGAATCTTAAGATTCTTGAAGATTTTAGAGGCTTGCCCTTTTGACAAGGTAGCAGATCCAAGAACAAGGGATAAAACCAATCATGGGCAAAACAAAGAAACCCAGCTGGGTAGCTTTTGATACAACACTGAAATTATTTGTAGGAAAAGTTGGTCACTCAATAAAATTAGGTTTAGTGTCAGCTAATATACACCCCTTTATATACATTTCATTTTGTATTAATAGCTGCTGATTGTTCTGAGTGGATTAAAATGCCTAAACAAAAATGAGGTTTATGAATTCTTAATTACATGGAGAGATTGGTTGGATAACACTGTGTGTATTTGTGTGTAAATAACTCATCCTTTATCTCCATTGGAACCAATTGTAAGTGGACACAAGGGCTCAGCTGAGGTGTGTCAGATCCTTTGTTCGTGGGTTGGGAGATTAGTTACTCAGGCAAAGCTGACTAGAGAATATGGCTTGGAGCGTGGTCCATGCTGGTGCTCCCACCCTTTCCTCTCTGAATTAACTCCCCTCCCTAGTCACGTGCAGGGAAGCTGGAGAATTCTGGGCCTTCTTTATGTAATGTGAAGCCTTTATACTTCAAGTTCATAAATGAAGACAGAAGAATGTAATTTCAGGCTAAGTTGAAATACCAAATCCAGATGGTGGGCTGCACATGAGGCATGATCCTTTCTGTCACCCTCCCAGTCACACAAGTTAGTTTTCCATGAATGAGTGGAGGATGAAGAAAGGAAAAGAAACTTCTTAGCTCTTTCCCATATTACATGATTTCTAAGTAAATTCCTGTTTCATGAGTCAAGGGGAGAGAGAGAGTGGTGGTTCCTGTTGTGTTCCCTGATTTAAAAAATAAAAATATAAATAAAACATTTTATTTTAAAATAGTTTTAGATTTGAAGGAACGTTGCCAAGTTAGTAGAGTCCATACTCCCTACCCACTCAGTTTCCTCGGTGAAGGGTGAGTGGGACAATTGTCACAACTAATGGGCCAATAGTAATACATTGATATTAGTGAAACTCTATTATTTATTTGGATTTCCTTAGTTTTTCACCCAGGGTTCTTGTTTTCTTCCCGAATCCCATCCAAGATACCACATTTCAACTAGTCTGTATATTTCCTGAGGGTGTGATAATTTCTCAGCCTGTCTTTGCTTTTGGTGACCTTGTCAGTTTTCAGAAGTAACAGTCAGGTATTTTGTAGATCGTCCCTCATGTTGGGTTCCTCTGATTTTTTTTCATGGTTTGATTTGGGTTATGTGTCTTTGTGAGGAAGACCACAGAGGTGATACACCATTCTCAACAGATCCAATCAAGGAGACATGCTGTCAATGTGCCTTCTCACTGTCGTTGGCCTTGAGTACATGGCTGAGGTAGCATTTGTCAGGTTTCTCCTCTGAAGAGTCGCTTTTTCCTCCCCTCTCCATACTATCCTATTTGGAACCAAGTCGCCAAGCATAACCCACAGTTAAAGGGCAAAGGAGTTCTGCTCCATGCCTCCTTGAGGGGGTAGTTATCTATTTAAATCATTCAGAATACTTCTGTATGGGAGGTCTGTATCTTCTCCTTTTATTTTTTGTATCAGCATATACTCATTGATATGTATTTTATACTTTGGACTACAGTCCAATAAAATATTGTTTAGGTGGCTGTTCCAGCTTTGGTCATTGTGAGCTCCTTCAGTTGATGTATTTGTTTCCCAACTATTGATTAAAATCATGGGTTACCCTCAACTTAGGGTCCACTAGGGTGCAGCCTGTTACCTTGAAGGGCATTTTCAGGGCAGTCTTCATACCAAAAGCTGGTGCTTTGGTACAAGTGGTGACATTTCAGCTGTTATTTCAGAAGGCTTCAAGTAGATTAATGCCTTATAAATCAACTTCAAAAGTCATGTTGCCTCCCAAGAAAAATAGTTTCCAGTTTCATTTTTCTCAAATTAAGCTCAGATACATTGTTTAATATAGCTTACCAAAGATAAGTGCTCTTATTTTGCCAGTTTTAATTTTTTCTATGAATTGGTAGGATTAATTTGAGCTCTCCATACTACAAAATTAAAAACACACATATGAGTAAACACCTAATTGTTACAATAATCATCCCCAGGCTAATTTAGTCCTTGAATCCTACATGGTCCAGCCTAAATCCACATTATTGTCTTAAGTCACAGATTTTCATGGTATCTCAGTGGTGTCTTCTGGGAGATGGAGATTAGGATATAGGAGATTAGGAGGAGGATAGAATGGGAAGGGGAGGAAAAAGTAACTATACAGAGGAGAAACCTGACAAATGGATATGCTGATAAAATATTTTTGGTTCCAGGTCAATTGCCTAAAACCCTTGTATGACCAGTGAGTTTGTTCTCAGTGGAACTCAAATGAGCAAAATTTCCCTTTGGGAATTTGAATGTGATACTTTTACCATAATGGGAATAAAAATTACTCATGCATATTGCCTCCTATGTCAGAGAGTGCCCTTTGAAACACTGCAATTTTCCTGCAAAATCTGTTTTGTGATCGTACCCTGGTCACAAGAACTTACTTGAAATTCCCTTTTCCCCCTGATGTGTTCATGCCACATAGCTAACATACCTTATTTTCTATGGCCTTTGAGATTTGTTGTCTTTCCCCCTCCTGCTTTCAGGGCAAAATTAATTGCTGACTCTGGTGGCAAAGTCTGCCCTATCTCCTGTGATCGGGGAACCCCTCATGTGTAAGCAAATAAATTTCATAGCCTTGGAAGAACATTCCTCCTCCAGTATTTCCCCCTACTAAATTGTTGGCATACATTTTTATTTTATAGGTCAAGGTGGAAATGTGAATCAAGAAAGAAAATGTTTCCTTTCAAGCATAAGCATGTATTTATTAAAAATGATGTGTCACAAGGGTTCACATACTAGAATTGTTTATGTAGTTTGACCTAGTTCTGACAAACCTAAACCATTCATTCACAAGGATACAGGCTCCTTTTTTGGCTTATTTCTCTCAAATACATTGATTTATTTTTTCATAAAGCCAACTCTAAATTTTCCTATTCAGAGTCAACTACTGCTAATATTTTTCCCAAGTCTTACTTGTGTTCTACATAGTTGTAAACATACTATATGCAAATTTACATCTTGTATTTGTTTTTCTCTTACTATATAGAATTTCCCATGTTATAAAATTTTCCCAGTCTGCATTATTGGCTATGCAATAATGTGGTGGTTAAATACACCATCATTTTCTTAATCTTTTTCATTCATTACTTAATGGTATTTGAAATAAAAGACTTAAGAAATATGAATCAACTCTAGGAAAAATGTTTTGAAGCATTCTGAGTACAACCTGGAATAAATGTTAAGTTGCTTTATTTATATAAAATGAGAAAAGTGAATATGTGCATGTATGTTCCTTTAACTAAAATTATGTCATCATTTTACAAAGCCTATTAAATGTGATAATAAATCTTTTAAATGTGTTTACTTAAGTTGCATATTTAATATTATCTAATAGGGGCTATGTAAGGAAGATGAACTTTCCTTTTTAAAAAGAGTAACATATTCTAAGTGAATCAGTCCCCCAACAAACATGAATTACTTAAACGCTTTAAAATCTTTTACTTTTGGAAATTGGATACTTCAATTAAGAGATTCAAATATTCCATGTTTAGCTTGAGTTTGGTAACTAGATTTTCTTTAAAATTTTATGCCAAACGAGTTCTTCCTTAATGGTGAAGTTATTTTGGCATTCATTATCGCATCGTCTGGTGCCAATACGCATGCCCTCCCCATCATGACCAGTAAGGACCATCCTTGGCTTGCCCATCACTTCATCTCCAGCACCTAAGAGAGTGCCTGCCACACAGTGGGGAATTAATAAATGCAGGTTAAAATAGTGATTGCTTTTCTCTGACAATATTCCCAAAGGCTAAACAATTAATCCCTGAAGAATCTGGATAATTAGCACGGAGAAATCCTATCTGGACCACAAGAATTCTTCAGAGTCCTGTGCAGCAAAAGCACAGAAACGTTTTAAGAAGGAGCCATTATTATTTTTAGTGATTTGTAAATGACTAGTAATTATGTTTTGCAATAGTTTAATGAGTACCATGGTAAGGCCAGACATGCTAGAACTGTCAGTTGATTTGAATATACAAACCATATACTTATCCAGAAATAACATATTCCAATATAATCTGTAGATCAGTCATACTTTTTACATACTCTGATTATGAAGGTATCTTGGGTATTCAGACCTCTTTTGTGCTTCAGGTATAAATATAAAATTTTATCCATTGAAACAGTGTTAGCATTTTTGTATATGTTGATGTGGCCACAAGTTATAAGCATTTTACTTAGGTGCTAAGCAATATAAAAATTAGAGAATTTTATTTAGTTGAATCAAAAGGGTAATAATTAATTCATTAATACATGCTAGGGAACAAGATGATTAAGAATGTGGGTTTATATGAATAAAACTGAAAGCTTACCCCAACTATATTATTTATTAGCTGTGTGACCCTAGACAAATTACTTAACACTCTAAACTTCAGTTTTCAGAGCTGTGAAACAGGGAGAACTATAGTGCCTACTGTATCATTATGGTGATTAAATGAGATGGATGTGTGCTTAAACACTGTATATTCGACACAGCATTCAATGTAGAAAAAAACAAAGGAAAATATTTGGCATTTATATTCCATTAAGAGATTGCCCACTTTTGGACAGTATGAAGGCAACTGACTAACATGGGAGGGAGTGGAAATTTTGAATTCTAAGTGTCTAGAAGAATCCTTATCTGCTACCCAACTAAAAAATATAGAAGATCCCAGAAGTCTTGATAAGCTTGTTTGTAAATTTCTTTGCACCCCCTAGATTTCACGTGTGTACAAGATGGAGAGAGTGAGGCTGAATTTTTGCCTGACCACTTGGAAGAAAAGCCAGAAAGAGAAAAGAAGCGTGCCAATTTCACTTTGTGCAACGTGTGTAACATTCAGCTGAATTCGGCTGCTCAAGCACAAATTCACTACAATGGCAAATCACATCAAAAGAGATTAAAACAACTCAGCAATGGGATATTGAAAAACGACAATGGTAAAGTTTTTCTAAAAATATCTTCTCAATTTTACATCATCTACTTAAGTTTGTGTACCTGCAGGTGTGAAGATAAGTGAATGGGCCAATCTCTATTTTTAAAACCAGGACAAAACATTCAATAAGAGCTTTATCAGCATAGTACATTAAAATAAATAATCTTCCACAGCTTTTTGGATGAAAAGGGTTTTGTTTATTGCATGTACTTCACTGTATCAGGTTGCGATCATGACCCACTAAGATATTTGCTATAACTGGAAGAAGTTGACATCTTGACATTTTTCTTTAATACAGTTTTTTGGAAATGGACATCCTTTTACATTTTATATAAAACAAAAAGGTTTTTCATTTGTTTTTGCATGTTAGGGGCTTTATTGGTTAGTAAGATTGCAGTTGATTTGAGAAAAATAGATATATTTTCAAGTAGGTGTTTTAGCTGATGAAATATAATCTGTCAGTATGTGCAGATTGTTTTAATGTGCTAGTAAAAATTGCTGGTTTGTTTAATCACTTTGGACTACTTTTTAAAGTACATGTTAAATTTAGGAGTAAACAGATGTTTTTAAATTGCACAAAAATACTTTTGGAAACACGCTGAAGGTTATTAGGAAAAGCTCTGAGAGGTGAGGGAGGGGAGGGGAAGGGACCTGCAGAGGGGACTTCGAAGAGCAAAAACAATAGCAAAACAGAGTTACACTGTTGTAATCTGGTCAGAGGTTTCATGTTTGATAAATAAGATATATTTGACTTAAATTTTAATGACATTTAAAAATGAGACTGAGTTTTGATCTGTTCTAATATTTGATATCAGGAAGATTATTTAATGTAATTTTGTAGTTTGCTGCAAAGCTACCAAATAATGAGAAGAAAAATGCAGTACTTATTTTTTAATAATGGGAATTATCTCTACCTTGCTTTGTGTTTTTTAATATGAATAACTGGGACTATTCTAATAGAAAGGACTCTGTATTTCTCTTCCTGGTGTATGGCAGTTAAGCACAGATGTTACTGATCAAAGAGCTGTTAAAAGTAAAAATAGTTATCTAGAAGAATAGTCACCTGAGAACTACTAAATTCTATAGGCATAAGATGAACTAGTAAGGCAAATGTACTTAAGTGATGTTTTAAATATATATATTTGAGAGACTCCATTTTGAACTTCTTGAAAGAAATCTTTTCCTTCTCATTCATATTTAGATAAAATCGTCTTAAGCACATGATTTGATTTCAAGTTGTTTTTAAGTTTATGTTGTTGGTGGTAATGGTGTCAGCACTGATGTTTTATTTTTCCTCCTTTGATATTTACAAACCTCTTTTGGAAAACTAATAAATGATATTATAGAAAGAAACTAGGAAAACAGACATGCCTTGCTCAGAGCTAGTCCCAGGCAAGATTTGGAATGGTCAGAGACTTTCAAACCACAACACTCGTAATGAATTTCCTCAAGTTAAATATTTTTAAATAACTTATGTGGAATGCCATTGTACTAATGGCTTTTTGTACATTTCCTTATATATTTGTTCCTTGCAACCATAGAGATGTTGCCATTATCTCCCTCTTATAAATGTAGAAATTGAGGATAAATTGAATAGTGCACTGAAGGTCACACAGCTATTAAATAGTCAGACTCAGTTCTTATTCATGTAAATACCTGAACCTCTAAAGTCTACTGTCTCTCCAAAGTGACATCCTGTAGAAACTGCAAGAAATTATTTTATTCAAGGCAATAAATTATTCTAAGAGAACATAAAAAAATTAAATTCTATCATATAGCCAACAATGTATTCACAGCCAATATGGTGCTTAACAAAATTTTATTGCTGCATTTTCTGTTCATATTTTTTCTCAAAGCTCTTTTAGTAAAAGCCATTAAAAACAACCATGAACTAATGTGAACACTTGGTTTGGGGCATATTAGTTTGACTTGAAGTTATGTTTCAGAGGAGACCTTACTTTTAAGTATTGGTAGATCTAACTACAGGCAACCAACCTCAAAAATGAATTAATACTTTGCATGAATATAAAAACATATTATATTTTTATGTGTCCCCCATTTCCCCACTCTAAAAATGTTACCATTTCCAGCCTGTTTGAAACAAGAAAGGAGCCAGTTTCAACTCTTACGTGTCCGTCAATCGTTATTCCTTTACCTACACAGAGACCAAGCTAAAAATGGGAATTCTCAAGAATAAAGGATCCTATACATTCTTAGACAAGAACATTATCATTTTTAGTTTATTTAGGAAAAAATATGGGAGTAATTTTATTCTCCTTTTATACGTACACTTGCAAAATTGACTGCTGTGAACTTCTATCTTCAGAAAATCTTCAGCTGAGACTTCAAAAGGGAAATAATTAAATATGCCAGTGTCAAGAAAGTAATATGGGATAGAGATGAGTATCTGAATTCTTCCAACCTTGTATATAATTTATTTTTAAGTATGCAGAGGAAATAAATAATAGACACAGAACTAATTTTTATTATTCAGGATTGTCTAAATAGGAAAAAAACAGTATCATTTCTGTCTTGAGTTAATGTAGAACATTGTATGATTAATTACATGCCTAGAAGCATATCCTAATATACCCTACAAAGAACAAGAATGAATGAAAGAGGCAATCACCATATCTAAAATACAGTTTCTGTATTTCTGATCAAAATATGTCATTTCTCATGACATCTCACTTAATAAAGAGAATGATCATGTGAAGATCACAGTTAAAAATATATATATCATGTATACTAATTAATTAGGAGGCCGTCATCCCTCCAGTTTCTGACGGTGCTGCATTCTTTGCAGATGGTTACGGGGATGCATGCCCACCCCCAGGTGCTGTCCTGAGCTGCTGAGGTCCCTCCTGCTGAGTTGCTTCCTAAGCATGCTCGCAGCCAAAGGGAGTCACCTCTGATTTTGCTCCCTCCCTGGGGGCAGCCTGAAAAAATTCCCAGCTCATCATCTCAAAAGTGTGCGGGCAGCTCTCTACAAGTCCATTCCAGCTTCAGATTTTCGGAAGCCATAGCAACCATTCTGTCACAGTCCAACCACCCTCTCCCGGGTCCTGTTTCCCTCATGCGTCACAAGTATCCCTAGTCCACCACCTGCCCACAAAATCATCTCAGTGTCTGCTCCTGGGAATCTGCTAAAATACCACCAGTGGTTACCATATCTTTATAAATAATATGCACAGTATGATTCATTTTCCAACAGCAACAAAATTTAATACTTTCTCCATATCTATTTCACATTTGTTGGCTGTATATAAGCTTTATCACCAAAAATGCAAAAGGAATGAAGAGTGAGCTAGGTTTATTTCCAGATATTTTATGAACACCATCTATTGAACTCCAATCAACAATTCTGCAAAGCAAGTGTTATTACTTCTATTTTACAAATAAGATAGCCAATAACCAAAGGAACTAAGAGATTTGCCAAATAACCCAGTTTGTCCATAAAATTGCTCATGTCTACATTATCAGCAACATAGTGATCTCCCTGGTAAACTTATATTCTACTGTCAACAAAATTATGCCTTACGTTTGGGTGTTTTCTTGTGTTATTGAGTTTATGACATTTGTTAAAGCACTAACACATTATTGCAACAAAGTTGGTGTTTATTTAAATTTTCTTCACAAAATCTAATGGCTAAAAATATTTTGTGTAGAACAAAGTCATAGAGACATATTGTAATTTATCACTATATATTCTCTATTATTCTAGAAATACTTTTATTTTTATGTTAGCACACTTTTCAAAGATGAGGTGAGGTACAGAACTGGCAGAAGAGTATTCTATAATTAAAACCTTGCTTAAACATGCATACTTTGTCATATTCTAGAAAGTCCATGCTTTACCCTCTCATGAAAAATGTAAGCCAAAGAAATTCCAATACAAACTGCATGGGTTACTAACTTTCTCTTTAGAAAGGTATTTGATTTGTATTTATGAAGAAGGTAAGTTTTCAAATAACACTTATTTTCTAGTGATAAAAATATTATTGCATCTGGGCTGTACATATATGTACAAAAGTAAAAATCACCAGGAATCCTACAAAGACAATTATTTCTAAATTGTTGCAATTCTACCAGGTTTGCAAATAAATATGAGTAAGTAGTGGTATATATACAGTAGTATATGCATTATAGCATAATAGTGTTTGCATATCACCACCCTTTATAAATGTAGATTTTCAGTTACCCTAGAGAAATGAATAATCGAATTGAGATTTCTGGCTAAAAGTTAAAACTTCGCTTGCATTTGCCATCTTGTGTTCCAATTGTGTGATATACTGTATAATGGAAAAACCTTATCATAATAATGAAGCAAACAGTGAAGTATTAAAATGAAACATCCTAAGTGATTTTATCCACAAACAGGAAACTGAAGACTAGAAAAAAATACTGCTTGATTTATAAGGACATTTTGGAATATATGTTACAAAGGGTGCAACTTTCAGGATGGTTAAAGCTTCTATGTCCAGCTAATTAAATTCAATTTCATGTGTTCACCATAGTTAAACTGTTGAAGGGTTGAGTAACAAGTTGACCTATCTTTTAGTGCTCACTCTTTTGTAGCACATAAATCTAGAATATTGTTGCCATTATCTATCCTCTTAGCATTAAATTTTCTCTTACCTAACAGAAAAGCTAAGTAAAATTTTACTTTCTACTTCTCATCTAATCTAGTGTTCTGTCCCTTTCCATTGATCCTCCCGGATGAGGTTAAGTGTCAGTAGATTTTCAATTTACGAGATGTGTCTTCTCCTGCAACGTTGGTAGTTAATAAAAACAAAATAGCTTTGTAGAATTTTCTGGTACTTCAGGCCTTGATTTTATTTATAATTTGCTCATTTGTATATCAATTTGTTTCACGTTTGATCTCCAAGGACTATTTGTGCTTTCGCAGAATGTCAGTAGACTAATTAGAACTTGACAGTACAATTGTGGATTCAGGGTGATCCTTTTGGGATAATTTTATTTAATAATGATAACTACTTTCTTAATAATATCTTACTTATATTAGTAGATGACATATAGCAATATGAAAATAAGGAATATTGCTCTTCTCACATTTCTCTGTTATCAACCGCATCCTTTAGAAGATTCAGCCAAGGGAAAGCAAAGAACAATGCTGATATTAAATTGCCCACCATTATGTAGTAAGACATTTTGTTCTTGTTTGACTAATCTAAGTTTCTTCTTTATTATTAAAGAATAAGAATATGGGAGAAAGTAACAAATGCTAATTTTACCATGTGCAAATTTTGAGTGTTTTTCTGGTTTGGAATACTGGTGCTTTTCTGCTTAAAGAGAAAATGCATTGATCATTTCAAAAAGGATAGAATTTTAGCCACTCTAGCTACTTGCTCAATTTTAATTCCATCTTTTTCAACACAGAGATTTCTTTATTGAAACCCCACTTCACTGGGATAATGGTAAGATTTTACAATCTGAGACCAAT